GGGGGCATTTAGCTGGTCTTGCCTAGGGCACAAAATAGTCTAGCACTGGCTCTGGCTGCCCAACATTCCACAATGGACCAAGACTTGTGGATGAACAATTTTTTTTCCAGCTTATCACACCACAACACGATGCACAGTAATGACATTCCCTGCCTTATGGAGCACTGCAATGCCCCTGTAAAGTTAAGAACAGTGTGCTGGGTGCCATTTGGAATGAATGGTCCAGAATACATCCCCAGACTGCTAATTAAGCTAGGAAGCAGCAACAGCACACTGAAGAGTAATAACTCTGCTCTCTCTCCTCCTGTCAACATGAGAACACTTCTGCAGAGACTTCTTCTCCAAGTCTCAGTCTTGTTGTATAGAAGTTGGAGGAATCTGGCATCAAAAAAAATACACCTACTTTTATGTTCTGTACTTACCTCCCACAAATTACCTGTAACCTGATCTGCTGCAAGAAAACCCAGAAACCTCTGTCTCAGTTTTAGCTACATGGGAACGTACTCTCCACAGGAAACTGGCTGCTCAGACACTAAGAGGTATGTCACATGTTTGCCCATAACAAAAAGTACCAGGTATTCCTTAGGGTTCTAGCAGCAGATTAGGGCAGCAAGGGAGCATGATGCAGATAAGTGCTTCATATTTGCGGTGCCTACTATATATAATAATGTTTTCTTTGTCTCAAAAAAGTAAGCATGAAGTCATACATCGATAATGTCAGATCACACTCGACTTTGTAAAACCCAGACATGCCACATTGCAGCTCCTGTGATCAAGCTGGTATCAGGTGAAAATTTTAAAGGGAGGTAGTCCCAGGAGGGGCTGCAGTGTTCAACTTTCTTCTTTCCTATTGAGTTTATACAGCATGGTTGGCTCCCTTTTGGTTGGCACCCAAGTTTCCAAAGGTGGGAAATGTTTGAACAGGATTGGAGCAGTGACAACAGTGACATAGTGCTTAATGTTACTTTGCCTACTATGGGAAAACTATGCATTACCTTGCATAACATGCCCAGCACCTCTTCCAAATATGCTCAGTCTTACATCTTGTCCCTGGTGCACGTGTGGCCCCAAATTTCATTTTATCCAATCAAAACCCATACAACCTGATGACAGGCTTTCCCACTGAATGTTCCTGAAATAACCTAAACTATGCAAAAATGGTGTAAGTATATAAAGGGTTCATAATTACATAGTTAGTCTGGCTGAAAAAAGACAAAAGTCCATCCAGTTCAACCATTAAAAAAAAAAAAGTATAATCCTATACCCACAGTTGATCCAGAGGAAGGCAAAAAAAAAAAAAACAACCTAGCAAAGCATGATTCAATTTGCTCCTGCAGGGAAAAAAATTCCTTCCTGATCCCCTGAGAGGCAATCGGATATTCACTGGATCAACTTTACCTATAAATGTTAGTATCCAGTTATATTCTGTGTATCTAAGAAAGAATCCAGGCCTTTTTTAAAGCAATCCACTGAGCTGGCCAGAACCAACTCTTGAGGGAGTCTATTCCACATTTTCACAGCTCTCACTGAGAAACCTTTCAGAGTTTGGAGATTAAATTTCTTTGCCTCCAGACATAAAGAGTGCCCCCTTGTCCTCTGTGATTACCTCAGGGTGAATAACTCTACACCGAGTTCACTATATGAACCACTGATGTATTTATACATGTTGATCATATCCCCCTTAATTTCCTCTTCTCAAGAGACATTAAATTAAGTTCCTCTAATCTTTCCTCATAGCTGAGCTCCTCCATGCCTCTTATCAGTTTGGTTGCCCTTCTCTGTACTTTCTCCAGTTCCCCAATGTTCTTTTTGTGAATTGGTGCCCAAAACTGAACTGCATATTCCAGATGAGGTCTTACTAATGATTTGTACCGGGGTAATATGATATCTCTCTCTCTGGGTCTATACCTCTTTTAATACAAGAGAGGATTTTGCTTGCTTTAGAAACCGCAGCTTGGCATGGCATGCCATTATTAAACTTGTGATCTACCAGAACCCCCAGATAATTCTCCACCATTGATTCCCCCAGTTGTACACCCTAGTATGTATGATGCATGCATATTCTTAGCCCCCAAGTGCATAACCTTACATTTATCAACATTAAACCTCATTTGCCACATAGGTGCCCAATTAAACAGTGCATTGAGGTCGGCTTGTAAGTTGCAGACATCCTGTAAGAACGTTATTCCACTGCACAGTTTGGTGTCATCTGCAAAGACTGAAATTGGAATTTTAATCCCAGACCCTATATCGTTTATAAATATATTGAATATCATCTTTTAGCCAGTTTTCTATCCATTTATATACAGATTTTTCCAAGCCTGTAGACTTTACCTTACACATTATCCATGTGTGTGGAACTGTGTCAGTGAACTGTGTTCATATGCTATATGTTCTCAGAATATCAGAATATGTCTTGGATCTGCAGCCAGACATCAAAAATTACTAATATCGTGAGGACTAAAATTTACAGTAAAATTTAAGAAACCCCTACAATATGTTTATTTTGTGTTCTCATTCATACAGCAGCCTAAAAATATATTTTTAAATAATTACTTTTCTAGCTGTTACTTTGAAGCAGATTTATGCCTAAAACTCTACAGGCAGCTTCTATACCTTAGAATAGATGGAAATGTGAAGATATGGAACACAAGAAGGGACAGTTTTTTAAAAATTTGATTAATAAAGTAGATTCCAAGTCCTGAGACATTTAACCCTTTGTTAAGACAGACATTGTTCAAATCTAGTTTACAACTGATAATGGGTTCTGCCAGCACAGTACAAGCATGTTTAATTTCAGTAAACATTAGCTCCCCAGTTCCCTCTTTAATATTGGGGTAGCATCATGTTTTTTATAGGGGTTGCGGGGTATGAGGTCCGGAGGTGCTAGATGGCTTTTTTTTATGTTGCACAGTACTGTCAAACAGGCAGAAACAGCACTATAGTAATAGCATTGTAGGCACTGAAATGCTGATTTTGCCTGTTTTACAGCGGCTATTCAGAGCCAAGGGAAGGTTTCTCTTTGGCTCTGGTCACATGTAACATCCAATAAGGAGGACTTCCCTCACTTTGAACTACCTGCATTTGTAAGTAGATTGGCACTTAAAGGGGGTCTGTACTTGGGGGTGCCTGTACTGGGAGAAGGAGCTGTGCTGGGGGGAGGACTTTACTTGTGTCACGTACCTGACCGGAGGCTGTAATAGAGAGAGGGCTCCCCTTACGGCTAAGTGCAGTGTGCCCCTGGAGGTGGAAACAGGAGGTGCTATGCCCAAAGAAACACAGGTTGAGTTTCTAGGCTTCAGAGAGCCTTTATATTAGTGCAGAACACTGTACCCTTAATTTAAATGCCCTTGGAGTCTGCTGGGGAAGAGAAATAATACTGTCAGTCAGTATGACATGCAGATGAGTGCCGTCGATCTTAGAATCACCGCACACTTCACTCATTTGGGCAGTCGCGGGGCCAAAACCAGAGTGTGGAGCCACAGTGTGGCGGTGGAGGCAGCAGCAATGGGAGGCCATACAGCACCCTATGACAAAATGGAACCCACCAGCAGTGTGAGGAGACCTGAAAGTGGCACATGGCAGAGTGTGGCGATGGAGACAGCAGCAATGGGAGGCCGTACAGGGACCCATGAGAGACTCTGGACCTGGCAGCAGCATGAGGAGGCGGTACGGGGGCCCATGGCAGATTAACGGGCCTGGCAGCAGCAATGGGAGGCCCGTAATCTGCCAGCACCCTATGACAAAATGGAACCCACCAGCAGTGTGAGGAGACCTGAAAGTGGCACATGGCAGAGTGTGGCGATGGAGACAGCAGCAATGGGAGGCCGTACAGGGACCCATGACAGATTACGGGCCTGGCAGCAGCATGAGGAGGTGGTCGGTACAGGGGCCCATGACAGATTACGGGCCTGGCAGCAGCATTTGGGAGGCCCGTAATCTGCCAGCACCCTATGACAAAATGGAACCCACCAGCAGTGTGAGGAGACCTGAAAGTGGCACATGGCAGAGTGTGGCGATGGAGACAGCAGCAATGGAAGGCCGTACAGGGACCCATGAGAGACTCTGGACCTGGCAGCAGCATGAGGAGGCGGTACAGGGGCCCATGACAGATTACGGGCCTGGCAGCAGCAATGGGAGGCCCGTAATCTGCCAGCACCCTATGACAAAATGGAACCCACCAGCAGTGTGAGGAGACCTGAAAGTGGCACATGGCAGAGTGTGGCGATAAAGACAGCAGCAATGGGAGGCCGTACAGGGACCCATGAGATACTCTGGACCTGGCAGCAGCATGAGGAGGCGGTACAGGGGCCCATGACAGATTACGGGCCTGGCAGCAGCAATGGGAGGCCCGTAATCTGCCAGCACCCTATGACAAAATGGAACCCACCAGCAGTGTGAGGAGACCTGAAAGTGGCACATGGCAGAGTGTGGCGATGGAGACAGCAGCAATGGGAGGCCGTACAGGGACCCATGAGAGACTCTGGACCTGGCAGCAGCATGAGGAGGCGGTATACGGGGGTCCATGGCAGATTACGGGCCTGGCAGCAGCAATGGGAGGCCCGTAATCTGCCAGCACCCTATGACAAAATGGAACCCACCAGCAGTGTGAGGAGACCTGAAAGTGGCACATGGCAGAGTGTGGCGATGGAGACAGCAGCAATGGGAGGCCGTACAGGGACCCATGACAGATTATGGGCCTGGCAGCAGCATGAGGAGGCGGTACAGGGGCCCATGGCAGATTACGGGCCTGGCAGCAGCAATGGGAGGCCCGTAATCTGCCAGCACCCTATGACAAAATGGAACCCACCAGCAGTGTGAGGAGACCTGAAAGTGGCACATGGCAGAGTGTGGCGATGGAGACAGCAGCAATGGGAGGCCGTACAGGGACCCATGAGAGACTCTGGACCTGGCAGCAGCATGAGGAGGCGGTACAGGGGCCCATGGCAGATTACGGGCCTGGCGCAGCAATGGGAGGCCCGTAATCTGCCAGCACCCTATGACAAAATGGAACCCACCAGCAGTGTGAGGAGACCTGAAAGTGGCACATGGCAGAGTGTGGCGATGGAGACAGCAGCAATGGGAGGCCGTACAGGGACCCATGAGACACTCTGGACCTGGCAGCAGCAAGGGAGAGGCGATTACAGGGCCCATGGCTGACCTGGCAGCCAGAGTCGTACATGGCAGATTACGGGCGTAAGCAATGGTGAGGCCCGTTAATCTGCCAGCACCCTATGACAAAAGGCCACCAGCAGTGTGTTGAAAACATGGCAGAGTTAACATGTTTGGGGCATGATTCATGGCGGATTTAGTCAGTTGTGTCAGGAACTGGTGGTTTGAAATCCAGACTAATCCACGCCTGATTCATTTTCACAAACGTGAGTCTCTCCACACTTTGGGTGGACAGTCGTGTCCTCCGCGGAGTTACAATACCTCCTGCCGCACTAAACACGCGCTCCGATGCCACGCTACTGGCCGGGCATGACAGCCTTTCAAGGGCAAATTCAGCTAGTTGGGGCCAAAGGTCAAGTTTCGTTGCCCAGTAGTCAAGGGGATTGTCTACCTCGGTTGGCAGGGTGCTGTCCAAGTAGGCCCAAGCCTGTTGTTTGAGGTCCTGCTCCAGGTCCACCTGATGCTGCTGCTGCTGCGGCTGGTTAGTAGTTTCCTCACTGCGCTGGTGAAGAAAGCTACTCATCATCGACTGCAGACTGAGGCAGCCGCTGCTGGTGGAGCTGCCACTGTCCTCCTACCCCCCACCCCTCCCCTGCTGCCATGGCAGCGGAACGCGAGCGCACAGGGCCCACAGTGTCTGAGGATGGACGTTGGCGCAGAAAGGCAGAGACCAACTGACTACATAGGTGGTTTTTATAGTACGTTTATTTTGGCCTCCCTCTCAGCAGGTGTGAAAAAGGCCACCATTTTTGAACGGTAGCGAGGGTCCAACAAGGTGGACAGCCAAAAGTCATCCCTCTGTCTGATGGTTATTATTCGGCTGTCGCTACGCAAGAAGCAACCGAGCATGCTATGGGCCATTTGTGCCAAGGAATGCGAGGGACTCCCTGCCTCCATCTCCACAGCATACTGCCACGGTGCGTCTGGGTCCTCTGTCTCTCCTCCTCCTCCTCTACCAGATGCTCCTGCTCCTCCACTCCTGTCCGCTGAGTGGAAAAACCACCCATTTCACTCAATAATTCCTGAGCACCAATGTCCTCCTCTACCTCCTCCTCTTCTTCCTGTCCTGCCCCCACAGGGGTCATGTGGCGTTGAGATCTGTGCGCCACGTCTACCGCACCCTGACCAGCCATTGTTAACAGCATTTGTTCCAGGACGTGCAACAGAGGAATGACGTCGTTCATCCCATAGTCCTGCCGACTCACGAATAGCGTGGCCTCCTCAAAGGGCCTGAGCAAGCGGCAGGTGTCACGCATGAGCTGCCAATGGCTGACATCTAAGTTACACAGGGGGGGAGTACCTTTATCCGCTTGTAACATCAGGAAATCGGTGATGGCCTTTCGCTGTTCGTAAAAGGCGGTCTAACATATGTAGGGTTGAATTCCACCTTGTTGCAACGTCGCAGATCAGGCGATGCTGTGGAATTCCGTTCTGCCGCTGCAGCTCAAGGAGGGTGTGCTTTGCGGTGTAGGAATGGCTGAAATGCATGCAAAGTTTACGTGACATTTTAAGGATGTCTTGCAGTGGGATGGTGGATTTTAGGAACCGCTTGACAACCAGATTGAACACGTGAGCCATGCATGGCGCATGGCACAACCTTCCTTGACGCAGAGCAGACACCATGTTCTTTCCGTTGTCGGTCAACATGGTTCCGATTTTCAGTTTGCGCGGAGACAGCCATCTGTCGATTTCTCTGTTCATTACACTCAGAAGTTCCTCCCCTGTGTGACTACGTTCGCCAAGGCATACCAGGTGCAGCACAGCGTGACACCGTTGCGCCCTGCACATGTGATATGCCGGTCGGGTAATGGGACTTGGCACGGGGGTGGCGGCTGAGGACACGGCGGAAGAAGAGGTGGTAGAGGCGGACATCTTTTCTGGACCAAGGACGTGCAAACGTGGAGGCAAAAGCGGCGTGACCTGTCCAAGTTGCATGGGTGCGGCTGTGCCGGCACCACGTTCACCCAGTGGGCCGTAAATGACATGTACTGTCCCTGACCGTAGTTACAGCTCCACACGTCGGCGCTGCCGTGCACTTTGGCAGAGACCGACATGCTCAAAGACTGGCCCACCATCTCTTCTACATGTGAATGCAGGGCTGGCACTGCCTTTTTGGCGAAGAAAGAAATGCCGGCTTGGCACTCTCCACCGCGGCGCGGCACAAGCCATCATTTCTCGGAAAGGTGCTGAGTCCACCACTTGGAAAGGGAGGGACTGCAGCACCAGCAACTTGGACAGGAGGACGTTCAGCTTTTGCACCGTCGGGTGCGTGCTCGCAAACTGTTGTCTCTTGGAAACGGATTCCAAGAAAGACTGCTGACGGAATCCGTGAAGAGGAGTAGCAGGAGAAGGAGCATCTGAACGAGCGGAAGATGCCAACGAGCGACAACTCCCCTCAGCAGAGGTGTTGGAGCCTTGACTGGCTGATAGAGGGCGATTGACGTCGGGTGACGGAGCAAGTAACGGAGCGGGTGATGGAGCGGGGGCTGGGGCAGGCAGAACCGCCGTATCTTTATCACGGTTTTCCCAGGCCACCAAATGGCGACGCTGCATATGCTGACGCAACGCTGTAGTCCCAACATGGGCCCCCTGGCCACGCTTGACTTTCTGGCCACATAGTCGACATACGGCTACGTTTACTTCCTCGGGCGGGCTTGACGAAAAATTTGCCACACCGCCGAGTAGGAAACTTTGCCCCCGCTACTCCTCACTGGCTGACTGCTACTTCCTCCGTGCACACCGGCACCACTACTGGCCGTGGTGGTAGGCTGCAGTGGAGCTGGTGCTCTACTCCGTGGCCGTTTGCCTCCACTGACACTGCTGCGACCCTGCTGCCTCCTGGGCAACCCACCGACTGTTTTGCTCGCTGCCAAGCTGGCACCCTCTTCTCCTGATGATGCGGAAGCAATAGCCTGATGACGACGAGGCTGCCAAGTGCGATCAGCCTCATCATCATCAATTAGGGTCTCCGCCTCACTACTAGCCCCCTCGGCTGCGTGTGGGTCAGGAGACAGACCTGTCTCTAGACCGGCTACCGAGCCACTCTCCTCGCCACTACTTCTTCGCCTGGCTGCTGAAGAGGCGGATGTCTCCCCCCGTTCCTGACCGCCCTCTGTTAGCTCTTCCTCACTGTACAGTGGGGCTGAGCCCACAGCATGCGATACTTCGCTTGGTGAGGGAACACCAAAGGACAGGGGCAGGTAGAGGACACGTGATTTCAGTGGGCTTGCGTCCCGGGCCATGCCAACTAACGGTTGTGTCTGACGTACCCACCGACCGTTGGCTGTAGGTGTCAGAGGTGACCTGGGAAGAGGAAGACGACCGAGCCAACCAATCGATGACGGCAGGGTTGTCGGTGGAGACACGACCGCTGGATGACACCGGGAGCACTGGCCTCTGGCTGCGACTTAGTGCTGCCTCGACCCCTTCCTCTGCTGCCACGTCTGCTCGCTCCTGAAACATTGCCTCCTCTGACACTCCTCTGCGTGCGAGAACAT